GAATGGGTACAATGACTTCATTATACTATTTGCTTTACTTTGGAAATTTCCATAATAAAAAGTTTTAATTGTGAATTTAAAATTTTCAGAGCTGATTGTAAATGTCAACAGTAGTGATCATCTTAATAGCCAAAGGGTTTTTTGTTTTTTTTTAGAGACAGAGTTTCACTTTGTAGCCCTTGGTTGAGTACTGTGGCATCACAGTTCACAGCAACCTCCAGCTCTTGGGCTTAAGTGATTCTCTTGCCTCAGCCTTCTGAGTAGCTGGGACTACAGGTGCCCACCACAACGCCCGGCTATTTTTTTGTTGCAGTTTGGTCAGAGCCGGGTTGGAACCCGCCACCCTCAGTATATGGGGCCAGTGCCCACTCCCTGAGCCACAGGTGCCACCCTAGCCAAAGGGTTTTTAAGTAAAAAAGAAAATTTTAATGCAATCTAAAACTAGCTAAACACAAAAACTAAGAGTTTTTTTCTTTTAAGATCCTTATTTACCAGTCACTCTCCCTCATAATAATGTCAATGAAGACTCACTCTGAGGGAGTGGTTTAGTTAACTTAGGACGTACAGAAGACTACAGATGCAGGGTCCCACCACTGACGCACTTCTCAGCATTCCCGCTGCTGCTCCACTAGTGATTCTGATGCACATCAATGACTAAGAACCACTCTGTATAAGGTCTCTGAGTCCTGAGGTGATAACATGTATTTTTTTTTTCCTGATAACATGTACTTCTTAAAGAACTTCCTATTTTCAGGCAATTTTATGGTCTCCCATCAAAGACTTAAAACAAAACTTGTTCACAGTCATGTTCATATTGCTGACTACATAAAATGTGTGCTGGTCTATGTAATCCTCCAAAGAAGGGACTACCAATGGAAACATGGGCAAAAGACTTAACAGGCACCTCACAAAATGGCCAGTAAACACATGGAAAAGTACTTAACCTCATCAGCCTGAGGACAGTGCAAATTCAAACCTCCATACAACACAACTACACACATGGGAATGGTTAAAATGAAAAAATATATAAAATCCCAAGGGTTAACAAACAGAGCAATAGGAACTTGTATACATTATTTGTGGATCATAGCTGGCAAAGCCACTTTGGAAAATGTCTCGACAGTCTACTAACGGAGAGTGTATTCCCGCCCTATGACCAGGTAATTCTACTTCTAGGTATAGGCCAACAGAAATGAGTACTTACATTCATCAAAACACATCTACAACTACGTTCACAGCTGCACTATTTGTAATAGTCCCAAAACGGAATTAACACAAATACCAATACCAATAGAATGGATAAATAATTACATATTTACATAATGGAATAGTATAAAGCAGGGAGAATGAAAAATCTATAATACTCAATGATA